GTGTGTGTGTGTGTGTGTCTGCGTGTGTGTGTCTGTGTGTGTGTGTCTGTGTGTGTGTGTGTGTCTGTGTGTGTGTTCTTCCTTTTCTACACAAATGTTAGCATACTAGAAACACTGCATCTTGTTTTTCAGACAACAATATTTTTAAGTCACAATCTTTAGTATCAGAAACCTTGATGAAAAGGAAACATGAACGCGTCCTTTCTGCGGTTTTACTCCTGTTTATTCCCTGAGGCCTGAATTCTGAGAACTGACTGGGAGGAGGAGGCGTTAAAAGCAACACCTCCCACTCCCCCCCACCCCGGGGAAAAAAGAGTTATCACCAACACATTTAGTCTTCTCTGGGCAGGGTGGGATGTAGGTTTTTATTGCGCTAATTTGAAGTCTGTAAGCTTGAATGTAGACTAAAACAAGTACACTTTCTTCTTCAAACAGTTTTCATGTCTTCTGTGTTCAGTGCCATCCATCTTGTGGTATTTGGGAAGTGGGAGAACCTGCCCCCGGGACCTTGGAAGAAGCTCTTTGGAAACATAAAATTACAGATGACATTTCTGTGAAAGTTCTAGACAAAGCAGCCAGCAGTTCTTTAGTGTTTCATCTTAAAATCGCTAGTTATTTACCCATGAAGCTTATAAAATTAAAGTTTGATTTTGGGAACACAGTTGGATTGTGAGTGAATGATTCTTTCGTTTTTGTTGATTTCACAGTGCTTGTACCTAAGTTTTGTTTGTGAAACAAATTAACTTGTTCTGGTTATGCATTTCTTTAAAAACTAATACTCGATTTTATTACACACAACACTCATTGCAGAGATTTTTTAAAAATATAAAACAGTATAAATAAAATTAATGTATTTCTATTAAACAGTTTATAGTGACACAGAAGATACTGCTATTCTATTCTATTTCGTGTTTGTGAAAAATCGTGTATAATTGAGATTTTGAAAATAAAGCCAGATTTTAACCATATCTGGAATGACCATTGAAGAACCTTCATGGAAACTCATTATAGAAATAAATACATCTATTTTAGAAGCTTGGAGTTTTGCATATTAGGTTTTCTTATAGCAAAACACAAGTATTGTTTTTTATGAAAAGCTGTTATTTTGGAGACTCAGTTCCTAACACAGATTTTGCTGGCCTGCGTTTTCTAATGCACGTGGCAAATAGAGCATTTTTTTTTAAAAAAAAAGAATTCCTGATATCTCATAGAAATCATGCTATCATTTTTTGTTTCAAGGTAAATCTTACACTTTATCTTCTCTTGTTAGAATGCTTTTTTTGGCTGTTTGCAAAACTGACCAGTAATGCAAATGGGTGATGGTGTCTGACTTAGATTTGAGTGGTTTGGTGATATGAAGTATTTAGTGTGTGGGATTTGTATTTCTTGACCTTCAACTGAGTTTGAAACAGTGTTTTTTCCAAAGTATATGAAGTTGAGAAAGGTTTTTGTTACCTGATTTTAAAATCTTCAGTTAATAGAGATTATACTGTTTTTGAGGTTAAATGTTAACTAATGTAAGATGTCTGTGGAAGACCAAGTTAACTGGGGTGGGTGGTATTCAGAGCGCTCAACGTTTCTAAGCCCTCATGAGGAGGTCTAGCCCTCAAGTCTAGTAATTTTTTATCCCGTTTTCATCCTTTAATTTAGTTAAAGTGTTTTCATTTTACTGTTCTGTTTCTAGGTAGCTATTATTAAGGTAACAGATTCTTTTACTGAAGTGAAAGTTGATATCAGCTTTAATGTACAGAACGATGTGAGAGCTGCTGACCTGTCAAAGACTTTACCAAGGACCAAGGTCAGAGAACTTGCAGTGTTTATCTGGTGGAACGATCAGAAATGTGATTTTGTTCTGAGATTCTGTTGTGGTGGTGTTCTGGTATAGTTCGCTTAACTATTTTTATTTGCATGTTGCTGACAAATGCTTCTTACTTTTCCATGCAGTAGTTTACTTTCCTGGAAACTGCTTGTAATAATCAGTAATTAATTTATAATGTGATGTTGAGTGAGAATGAAGGGTTGAAGAAGATTTCTAAGAAGTCCTCTGTTCTAGATCCTTCCTCTTAAGAAGATAAGGCCTGAAATCATGCCACATGGTTGGTTCTTCTCTGTTTTTAATCTCAAAGAGTTCAGGCTTAAGAACCTCCCTTGGGGTCTTAAAAACTTGTTTGCAACCATCTAAGATGCATCAATTGGTCCCAACCCACTTGGAGCAAAGGAGAATGAAGAACACTAAAGACAAAAGGAAAATATTAGCCAAAGAGGCTAAAGGTCCACATAAACCAGACAGTCTACCAGCGTGAGACCAGAAGAACTAGATGGTGCCCGGCTGCCACCAATGACCGCCCTGACCGGGAACACAACAGAGAGTCCTGGATGGAGCGGGAGAAAAGTACAGAACGGAACTCAAATTCATGTAAAAAGACCAGACTTAATGGTCTGACAGAGACTGGAGGAACCCTCAAAACTATGGCCCCTGGATGCTTTGTTAACCCAGAACTGAAACCATTCCTGAAGCCCACTCTTCAGACAAAGATTAAACAGGACTATAAAACAAAAAATAATGCACGTGAGGAGTGTGCTTCTTAGTTCAATCAGATACACGAGACCAAATGGGCAGCTCCCGACCGGAGGCAGGATGAGAAGGCAGGAAGGGACAGGAACTGGTTGAATGGACGCAGGGAAACCGGGGTGGAAACGGGGAGTGTGCTATCACATTGTGGGGATTGCACCTAATGTCACAAAACAATATGTGTATAAATTTTTTTATGAGAAATTAACGTGAGCTGTAAACTTTCACCTAAAGTACAATTAAAAAATGAAAAATGAAAAGAACCTCCCTTGGGAGCCTTTTCTAGATTTTAATCCCTAAATCACCTACCTGCAAAATGGCTCCTGCTGGTTTCCTTGCTTTTATCTTGATGCCATTTAAATCTGTTTCTAATTGTTCTGTTTTCTTCCAAGATAGGGAAGAATTTGCCTACATCATCTTCACAACATTTCACATACTTAGAGACAGTTGTCAGTCTTTTCCCCCTAAAATAAAAATGTTAACTGCTCTGGCTTATGTAAAATATCTTTTCTACCAATTTACAATCTTTTTTCTTTAGCAGTGCTACAGTTTCTCTCTCTTTTTTTAATAAGAAAAAATTTTAATTACTGTGTTGTAAACGTTATATTCTCATTGTATTAATGTGCAGAGTACAGAAAATCAGGAAAAGAAAAGAAATATCCATAAGCCCACTCTTTTGGTGGTGTTATGTGTGTGTATAAATTTTCTTTTTCCCAGGAAAGAAACATTTTTTAATTGAAAATAATAGGCTTGATAAAAAATTTGACAATAAAAAGGGATATTAAAAAGATAGTCACCCCCACACTTGGATGCTTACATCAACTTTCTAGATTTAACCACCATCAACATTTAAAAAAATTTTTGGCTTGTCTATTTATCCTTGTTTTGAAATTTTTAAGCACAAAAAGAATAGCACACTAAACACACGTTGTCTTGTTAGTTCTGACTCATGGTGACCCCATGTGTGCAGAGAAGAACTGCACTTCATAGGGTTTTCAAGGCTGTGACCTTTCAGAAGCAGATCATCAGGCTTGTCTTCCGAGGTGCTTTTGGGTGGGTTTGAACTACCAACCTTTTGGCTATAGTCGAGCACTTAACCGTTTGTGCCACCCAGGGACTCCTGCATGTTATCTTATACCTTCTTTTTTTAACTTAATATTTTGGAGGCTTTTTTGTATAGGCACATACAGGTTTACTTCATTCTTTTCATTGGCTACACAGTAGTCCTTTCTAAGGATGGGTGTATCATAATTTATTTAGAAGTTCCCCACTGATAAACACTTAGGCTGTTTCTGGTGTTTTTGCTATTACAAAAAACCGCTTTGGTGAACATCTTTCCATACCTGCATTTATCTTTACACTTGCAAAAATACAGGAAGATTCCTGGAAGTGGAATTTCTGGGTCAAAGGGTATATGCAGATAGAATTCTGCTCAACATTTGCCTAATTGTCCTATAAGAGACTATATCTGTTCTGACTTCAATATAATGTTTAAAAATGCTTGTTTCTCCATACTTTTGTTGTTCTTTCCCATGCTTGCTTACTTTGACATAACTTGGAAAAGTGTAAACTTTTTTCTTTCTTATGGAAGCAGTATATGTTCACTGGAGGAAATCTAGAAAACGTAGATAAGTGTAAAGAAGAGAACAGAAATAGCTAGTAATTTCACCACCCTGGTTAATGGCCGGTAAGACTTCTTTCTAGATGCTTGCATCTGTGTTCTTTAGTTCAGCGATCCTGGCCTCGGGCCTGGCTTGTAGTGAGAGCTGAAAGAACATGTATGAGCAAAAGACGGACTCACCTTTGCCAGCTCTGCTGTGCTCACGAGTATCACTGCCTCGTTCTCTGTAAAACATGGAAGGTCATCTGTATGTGGTCATCTGCCCACGCGGAGGACAGCAGGCGGGCCTGCTCCTGGTCTGGGGCAAAGTAGAATACAGGACCCTGGTCTGCACCACCTAAAAAAAGTGAGTATTTAAAATCCCACTGGTGTAATACTTTAAGGTGTTAGGAGACTTTGTCCTTGTACTGGTCCTATTACCTGTTTACAAATGAGAGTCACGTGGTAATGTTCATCAATGAGTGTCATCAAATAGACACACAATGTTTCCATCCCATAGTGAGTGCTTGGTGTTTTTATTTATGTATATATGTTCTAGGAGGCCTGGTGGTACAATGGTTAAGAGCTCAGCTGCTAAGCAAAAGGTAGCAGTTCAAACCCACCAGCCACTCTGGGGGAGAAGGATGTAGATTTATGTATGTATGTCCTAGATTTTAGATGTAAGGGAGAAAACCCTCAGTTACTTATAGCTTACTTTTAAAATAGAAAATTAGGTCTGTTGCATATCTCCACCACATTTATTTTGTAATGTAAGGACCTTTTAATGCCAAGAGCTATTACTAATATGGGAATTCATCAACAATACAATTTTCTTTTTCAGAAATATTCTGTATTACCATACTTGGTTTTAGTACTGAAACAATTCTTATTACCAAACCAAAAAAACCAAACCCGTTGCCGTTGAGTCGATTCTGACTCATAGTGACCGTAGAGGACAGAGTAGAACTGCCCCTTAGGGTTTCCAAGGAGTGGCTGGTGGATTCGAACTGCTGACCTTTTGGTTAGCAAGTGAGCTCTTAACCACTGCGCCACGAGGGCTCCAATTCTTCTTACAGAGGGACCTTAATGAGGTATTTACAGGCAGAATTGGTTCTGATAGTCTCTTTTTAGTGGCAGTCAGTTTCCTCCAGGTTAGGTTGTATTACTGTACTATGCCAGGCACACTAGAAAAAAAATTAATTGGGAAATCATTTTGGGAAAAGTTTAAATCTAACTCTAATTGGAATGCTTTTCTTGACTACTTATGGCTTTTCCCTTTAAGTAATTTTTAAAAAAATAATTTAGCAAATAGGTGTTTTAAAATTCTTAAGAAAAATATTTTTGCTTTTAATTCTATATGTTCTAATACTGTTGAGACTTTTCACTGCAAATTTTAACTTGCAAAGGTATGGCTCGCTTTCCATAAATGTAAATAGTATCAATGCCAAAAATAAGATTGTCTTCTAAGCAACTAACCTTGTAAATTTAACTGGAATTGAGACTTGCCGTCTGAGCTAGAAGTCTTAATATCATAAACGAGTATATTTACGTGGCACAATGTTTCCCACAGCCTGATTCTACCCGTGAGTCAGAATGACTTCCCTGATGTGTTGGGCCAAGAGTCACAGCAGCATCCTGCGGCAGCTAGAAGATCCATCCTTAGAAACTGTCCCCACCGGTTTCACACCCAGGGGCTTCAGTGTTTGCTTCAGCAGTGGTACAGCCCACTGTTACCCTGTTAACTGTTGGCTGCTTAGAACACATCATTACCCTTTGGCTGCTATGCTACGCTAAGCTAAAATGATAATAAATATTATTACTTATATAAGTTAGAATGTCATTTATATTTCCTCCCATTTTGATAATTTAGAGAAAATCCAATATGATTTCTTCCTTTTTTCTATTTTTATCACATCCCAGGGAAGATGCTTGCATCTTCAACACAAACTATGATGTTCTCTTAATAGAATTTTTTAAATTATATGGACAACACTTCAGTCATTTAAAGACTGGCATCCGGGTAAAGGATGGTGGTTCGTATGTGGCCAGAGATGCAGTGCAGAAAAATATGCTAGATGGCTACAGGCCATCAGTGCTTCATCCTGAAGAACCTTCACAACCAGGTATTGAAATTAGGTAAATTGGTGAGCATGCAAAGAGAGGGCATTTCATTCATCTTATTGTATTTTGAACTCTTTAGATGAATAATGAAGGAATAACCTCAAGAAGTCCAAGCTGCGCTGAAGACATTGGCAAAAAACAAGGCTCCAGGAATTGGCGGAATACCAACTGAGATGTTTCAACAAATGGATGCAGCGCTGGAAGTGCTCACTCATCTATGTCAAGAAATTTGGAGGACAGCTACCTGGTCAACCAACTGGAAGAGATCCATAGTTATGCCTATTCCAAAGCAAGGTGATCCCATTGAATGCAGAAATTATTGAACAATATCATTAATATCACACGTAAGTAAAATTTTGCTGAAGATCATTCAAAAGCAGCTGCAGCAGTACATCGATAGGGAACTGCCAGAAATTCAAGCTGCATTTAGAAGAGGACGTGCAATGAGAAATATCATTGCTGATGTCAGATGGATCCTGGCTGAAAGCAGAGAATACCAGAAAGATGTTTACCTGTGTTTTATTGACAATGCAAAGGCATTTGACTGTGTGGATCATACCAAATTATGGATAACATTGCAAAGAATGGGAATTCCAGAACACTTAATTGTGCTCATGAGGAACCTATACATAGATCAAGAGGCAGTTGTTCGAACAGAACAAGGGGATACTGTGTGATTTAAAGTCAGGAAAGGTGTACATGAGGGTATCCTTTCACCATACCTATTCAGTCAGCATGCTGAGCAAATAATCCGAGAAGCTGGAATATAAGAAGAAGAACATGGCATCAGGATTGGTGGAAGACTCATTAACAACCTGCATTATGCAGATAACACAACCTTGCTTGTTGAAAGTGAAGGGGACTTGAAGTACTTACTGATGAAGAGCCTTCAGTATGAACTACACCTCAACATAAAGAAGACAAAAATCCTCACAATTGGACCAATAAGCAACATCATGATAAATGGAGAAAAGATTGAAGTGTCAAGGATTTCATTTTACTTGGATCCACAATCAACGCCCATGAAAGCAGCAGTCAAGAAATCAAACAACACATTGCATTGGGCAAATCTGCTGCAAAAGACCTCTTTAAAGTGTTAGAAAGCAAAGATGTCACTTTAAGGACTAAGGTGCATCTGACCCAAGCCATGGTGTTTTCAGTCGTCTCATATGCATGTGAAAGCTACACAATGAATAAGGAAGACAGAAGAAGAATTGAGGCCTTTGAGTTATTGTGCTGGTGAAGAATATTGAATATACCATAGACTGACAAAAGAATGAACAAATTTGCTTTGGAAGAAGTACAGCCTGAGTGCTCCTTAGAAGCGAGGATGGCGAGACTTCATCTCACATACTTTGGACATGTTATCAGGAGGGACCAGTCCCTGGAGAAGGACATCGTGCTTGACCCTCAATGAGATGGATTGACGCAGTGGCTGCAACAGTGGCCTCAAGCATAACAACGATCATTGAGGATGGCACAGGACCGGGCAGTGTTTCGTTCTGTTGTACATAGGGTGGCTATGAGTTGGAACTGACTTGGCAACACCTAACAACAACAACTTCACATTGTAGTCATTGTTTTTCCATCAAAATATTTCATAAACAAACACACAACAGAAAAGCAGCTTACACATTTCTCATTGCGAGTACAATCCATTTGACTCTCAAAAGCAGAGGAGACTAGGTCCTGGGTGGGTTTGTGTGCCTCTGCAGTCTGAGGGCTTCTTTTCGGTGTTCTCATTGCCTGAGATTCCCACTAGTTTGTCAGCTAGGGCTTCAGTGTGATGACTTTGAAGTCACTGGAGGCAGTGAGCAGGGTGACATGTTTCTGGATTCATGAGCAGAAGGGTTCAAGGAGACTGTTTTTCTTTTGAACCACTTCTTGGCTCTTATTTTCGCATAGTCTCCCTGTGCCTTTTCCAACTTGATGTTGGCTTGAAAGTGAACAGACAAGGAAAAGGAATTCCTCCCATATTTTCTTGAAGCTGTTTGCTTGCTTGTATACTAATTTTTCAGGACATTTTTTATTCTGATATAATTATAAAATATTTAGACTCTGCATTGTCAGACTTCAATGGAAATGCTTTAAGTCATTTCCTTTAATGTGTAAAGTCTGAAAGTGAGTCACGAAAGGGAGTTAAGAGGGATGCTAGTTGTCTGGGAGCCCTGTTCTGGCTCATTGAGCTGTCTGAGGACAGAGAGCACATGAACAGTTCTGTGTTTATTCATTCAGCAAATATTTCACTGGGAGCCTACTCTGTGCGGAGGCATAGTCCAAAGGACTCTAAGATTTTTCAGATGGGACACGGCCTTGCTTTTTAGGAGCTCATAATTTAGCAGGGCAAATAGCTGTATAGCTAATAGAAACACAAAAACCAGATGTTTCTAATTTACGTTGGTTTCACTCCTAGGAGAGACCAGACAGCTATTGCTTTTGTTTGCATGACTGTTTATGTATAGGCTAGTCCTTGCGGGGCCAAAATACGTTTTAGGCAGCTTATATGCCATAGTAAAGTACTGATTGCATGCCAGACGTGTTCAGAGACTGGGGAGTGCTGAGGACAACTGATAACCCAGCTTCTGGATGCAGCTCTCAGGGATAGCTGTTACCCCTGCTGGAGGCTGGAATTTTGTTTTATAAATGAAGACGTTTGTGCACATTTAGTTCAAATGAAGCAATGGTCAAGCTTACTTTTTTTCTTTTTTAATTAATAGCTTTTATAACTATTTTATGTGTACATTTCTTTTAAGGTAATGATGCTGGAAGGAGTTCATATGGGGCCATGCAAGTGAAACAGGCCTTGATTATGCCTATGTTGTTTTCAGTCATGCTGTGTCGTCAATAGCGAAGTACTATCCCAACAATGAAACAGAGAGGTAAACGTTTCAGTAAAATCAACCCATTGTGTTCAGACTGGTTGTGGCTTCTGAACTTCAAATTAGTGTAATAATCTCCCTCCCCTACTCTGTCTTTTTTTTAAAAACACATGCAGCATATTAGGTAGAATAATTAGAGTAACAGATGAAAAGTTGCCACATATAGAGATTGGATATCAAAGCAATGGGGCTTGCAGAATAGGCCTGAGCCTTTGTGCAATGGGAGGATTTTTTTAATTCATCAACTGACCGAGTATTAGAGGCTTTCTATGTTGTGTGTGTTTAGTGGGAAGAAACATTTTCCCACCTTTTGCCACTCTTTCAGGAAGTGGTGTTACCTTGATAGTAGATACTCAGCAGTTAGATAAATGTAATAATAATCTATCTGAAGAAAATGAATGAAGCCCTTGGAAAACATAGAAGTAAAACTTCGGTAAACACTCTTCAAACTCCTCATCAGGTCCAGTGTCTTCCTCTTCTGCCACGCAGTCCAGCTGGAGTGATGTAGTAAGTATTAAACACATGGCTTTTCTAAGCCTGTAAGTTCAGGAGTTCTGTTGCTGGGTTAACTCTGTCTAGCGGTATAAGGCTAGCTCATTTGCTTTTTTGTTACTGGGCAATTTGAATGACATTCCTGATTGTACTTTTCCCCAATGCTTTATTATGAAAATTTTCACACAAACAGCAAAGGCAAAAGAATTTTAGTGAACATCCACACACCCACCACTTGATTCCACCATTAACGTTTCACTTGCTTATCATGTACCTGTCTATCCATCCCCTTACTCATTAATTCATTTTATTATCTGATACATTTTAAAGTAAATTGCACACATTAGTACACATACTCCAAAATACTGCAGCTTGCATATCATTAGGTACAGTTCAATAATTGTTTACAGTTCTTTTTTTCTTTGGATATAAAATTGACATGTAAGGAAATGGACAGGAACCCTGGTGGTGCAGTGGTTCTGAACTCAGGCTACTAACCAAAAGATTGGCAGTTCGAATCCACCAGCCACTGCTTGGAAACTTTATGGGGCAGTTCTACTCTGTCCTATAGGGTCGCTATGAGTCAGAAACAACTTGATGGCAATGGATTTGGTTTTTTGGTTTTGGAAATGGACAAATCTTTACACTCACTGATTTTTATCATATGTATATATATGTGTAATCCAAAGCCCTGACAAATACAGAATATTACTATCACCCCAGAGAACTCCCTCATGATCCTTCCTAGTCAAGCAAGCCCCAATCCCACCCTCAAGGACAACCACTGTTATTATTTTCTAATGCGGTAGATTAGTTTTGCCTGTTATAGAATTTCATACAAACAGAATCATATAGTATGTTGTGGAAGGCTTCTTGCACTCAGAATAATGAGCTTCCTGATAGAATTTTTTAAAATTGAGATATAATTTACATAATATAAAATTCACTGTCTTAAAGTGTATTTAGTATAGTCACAATATACTGATTTTTAGTATATTCACAATGTTGTACAACCATCACCACTATCAATTCCAGAACATTCCCATCACCCCCCAAAAAGCTCCATACCTGTTAGCAGTCCCTCTCACCCTCCCCCATCCCCTGGCATCCACTGATCTACTTTCTGTCTCTATCCTGATTGAATTATAAGGGTCAATTACATCTACAGCTGCTTTTCTTTATCAAGGCTAATTTTCAGTTGACTTTAATTGAGATGTAAAACGGGCTTACTCATTATTTGAATTTTGACTTCATTAAGTGTATGACAAAAAGTAATCCAAATATGTAAGGGACATAATTTTATGTTGTTAACGATGACCACGTATCATTATGGAGTAATAAATCCTCAGATGCGGAGTCTCCCTGTGTGCTTTTTTGGTTCCCAGAGCAGTGTTCTGGAGGACAGAATGCTGAGCTCGGTGTCACAGACACATGGGGACAGAAGCAGAGCCAGCCTCAAGAGGTGGAGGATTAGAGACTGACAGTATGCAACTCAGAGATGCTGGTAGGGTGCGAAGGCCCAGGGTAGGGACCTGAGAAGTAGCACAGTCATGGCCCGGAGCAGCCCAGAGCAGGTGGGGCTCAGCCGGTCGTCTCTGGGTTGCCCATGTCTGCATGCTGTTTGTGTGGAGGGACTGCTGATCTGTAAGCACAGACTCTCAGAGACTGAGCCTCTTAAACCAATCATTTTGTGTTCAGCTGAAGACATTGAGCCAGGGACTGGGACCTAGGTTCCCCACTGTTTAGCATGCTCTTTCCATTATACCATAGTTCATTTTCTAGAACTAAAAAGATAAACTTGGACCTCTACGAGCTCCTTCAAGACTGATTGACAAGCTCAGATGTGGGCAGTGGATTTGACAATGAACAAACACCCTCTGACAAAGTAAGTCGCTTTAAATGTTTGGAGGAAAATTTTTCTTAAGCAGTTGATTTTGTGAGTATCTCAGTGTGCTTCCTTTAACTTCCAGATATTTAAATTTAGTCCAAAGTGTACTTAGCTGAAATTATTTTCCTTTCTTCATTAAATATCTAGAGTATAAATATGTCATTTTATAACTCATGTAACTTCTGTTAGGATTCTGATGTGACACCATGCAAAACCCCGAAACAGCTGCTCTGCTGTCTGTCCACTGGGAACCGAGTAGGGTCACAAGATGTGGCCTTGGAGTGCTCTCAGGCCGTCGGGAAAATGCAGAGCACCCAAGCCACTAACCCATCCAACAGCACCATCAGTGGGATTTGTGTTTTTAATTGTTAGCATTTAACATAAAATATTTAGAATTCTTATATGTGAATAACACACATGATGAGTTTGAAGAAAACTCTAGGTCAAAGGTCAAGCCTGCTTTGCTCTGAGAGGTTCCAAAGCATGAGAGTGCTTCCAGTAACAGGATGTCCTGAGCATCTTTATGAGACACGTTTGTAACATAAGCCTTGGTGGGACTCTAGAGGCCGGCCCTTTATGATGCCCCGGCCAACCTGCCTTATTACAGATTGGGCATCAAAAATCACATCAAGCTATAGAAAGGCCTCAATTATGCTTGAAATAGACACACATGAAGTTTTTGCATGACTTCATGGCAGTTTCGTGCATTTCTGGGATAATGTGTCCTTTTTTCTATTTTACTATTCGATACCTAGCTGTCTGTGTTGATGTGATCAGGCAACTGTCAGTCATGGTCACTTAATTATCTTTAGCTTGGACTTAACAGGCTACAGAGATCATGAGTAACGATCATGAGTCATGAATGGGAATGAGGGGAAGAAGCCATTTGATAGAGGGCTTTGCCTAAGGCCATCTCACCTCTTGGAGCCCAGCGTGGACCCGGGGCACAGGCCTCTTTCTTGGCAGTAGGGATAAGTGAGTCGCTGTGTGTCTGACTTGACTTGCAGAATCCACCTTACATATACAGCCTTAGTCATGTACACCAAACCCAGACACAATGAGAAGTAGCAATTAAAGTGACAGGGCCGACAAGAGACTGGTGTCAGGAGAAAACTCCAGGAGCCACCAGCTGTGGTGACCACGAGCTAATGGCGCACCTGCACGCCGTAGCGGCACACCTGCACGCCCTAGGGGCCCACCTGCTCCCCCTAGCGTCACACCTGCATGGGCCCACCTGCACCCCAGAGCGACATACCTGCACCCCCTCGCAGCACTTTCAGAAGGGCTGTTCATTGTGGGCGTATCAGTCAATAGGTTCCTTGAGAAAAGGTTCACATGCTGTATACTCTGTTAAGAAGGCGAGATAGCGGCCTATGTTTTTCAAGATTTCCATGAAAAATAATGTAGAAGTGTTAGAGCTTAAGCGAGTGAACTTCATTTATCACAGAAGTTGTATCTGCGCGTAACATCTTTGTCTGCCTGCTGATAAATCAGTGCTCGGTACAGTAACTTCCTGGCCAGCATGTTCCTGGTTCTGAAAGTGCCCCTGAATTCAGGCCTTAGAAGCGTGCTTGGTTTTCTCTGCCACACTGATGGCTTGTTGACTGCTTTCCTTTCTGCAGCCTGGGTCAGCAGAGCTCTTTCGTTCTTCCAGCAAAGGCTTCGGTACAACTCAAACCAGCCATGGTCCCTTGATGACAGACAGACAGCGTCAAGGCAAATCCAGTAATCGTATATCCATGGCAGAAAGGGGAAGACAGGTGGGATGCCCCTCCCAGACCTGCGCAGATAGTCAGCATTGTAGGGTGGGCTGTCTTCTATGTGCAGTGATCTCATGCTCAGGACAGTTGGATAGGGAGTCCTGGGAAACATTTGGGAGCCTTACACTGTTCAGACGTTGATTTAGCAGCTGTGTTTTTTCCCACCTCACCACGGAATGAATCACGGAGGCTGACAACCGCAAAAGCGAAGAACCAAAAAACCCAGCACCGTTGAGTGGATTCCAACTCTAGCGACCCTAGAGGACAGAGTAGAACTGCCCCATAGGGTGTCCAAGGCTGTAAATCTTTAGAGAAGCACACTGCCACACCTTCCTCCCGTGCAGCCACTGGGGGGTTCGAATCACAGACCTTCTGGTTGGCAGCCGAGTGCTTTAACCACTGTGCCACCAGGGCTCCCTCGCAAAAGCGAAAAGCAAGCAGAAAAGGGGGGGGAAGACTGCTCATTTGACAAGTCATACGCTACAACAGGGTCATTTTAAGATTTAAAGCTTGAATGTAAAATAAATGTATTTCTCATTGGCTTTGTGCAGTTACAGGGAATAGTATTCAGTGTAGGCAGTGTGACAGAAACAGAAAACAGCTTCAGAGGATGGGGTGGGAAAGAAAAACAAAGGTGTCTTCTAGGAAGTCAGAGTTCAAAGGGGAAAGTGATCTGTGCTTGTTTCTGTTTAGCTTTGTTTTACTTTTGCATACATATTTACCATGTTATTGTATGTGTATACAGAAGACCATATAGGAAATTGATATTTGTAAGAGTGGATTTGTTAGGACTTTTTACATAACATTCCTATTTAAATTGTAAACAGATTTTTTTCTCAGGATTAGCTTGAAAAATAATCTGAATTGTCATCTTAACATCCATATATAAGGAAATGATTAATTCTATGACTCAATTGGTTTTCCTCAGCGTTGGAATGACTTAATAGAACTCTTGTGACCTGCTGTAAATTTTTTTCCTTTCCAAAGAAAAGGTTTATGGTGGCAAATGTCATTTATTTTATTTTATAAAAAACAAGACGGAACACGTCCTACGTACTTAGCGCAAACCCTGAAAAACCCATCAGCTCTGAGAATTAACTTGTGACTGCTGTCTATGGTGCTGTTGTCTCGGGCAGTCACGTGGCTTTGTATCTGTATCCTTGGCAGAGTCTTTTCTTCTTTCCTCCTAATAAACAAAACCAAACCAAACAAAAAATGCCTGCATCTCATCCCTTTCCTGCTGCAGTGACACCTCAGCTCCCCGAGACGTTGGCATGGGCCCCTCCAGCCTGGTGTGCTGCCTGTGCTTGTCCGCCTCACCTTTTAATCTTTTTCAAATTCACGCTTAACCACTGTGGGAGAGGATAACTGTAAACAGCTTTAATTAACTCATACTTACAAAAAATGATTTTCTAATACGCCACCTTATGGTTTCGGTATTTGTCATGGATTGGATAGTGGCCGCCAAAGATATGCGTCAACTTGGCTAGGCCATGATTCCCAGTATTATGTGGTTGTCCTCCATTTTGTGATCTGATGTAATTGCCCTGTGTGTTGTGAATCCTAATCTCTGCCTGTGGTTAATGAGGCAAGATTAGGTTATGTTAAAGAGGATTAGGGTGGGATGCAACACCCTTTCTCAGGTCACAGCCCTGATCTAAGGAGACAGAAGCAAGCAGAGAGATAGAGACCCCATTAAACCCAAGTAAGAAGAGCCAGGAGCTCGTCCCTTTGGATCTGGGGTCCCTGTGCTGAGAAACTTCTAGATTAGGGGAAGATTGATGACAATGACCCTCCTCCAGAGCTGACAGAGAGAGAAAGCCTTCCCCTGGACCTGGCACCCTGAATTCGGATGTCTAGCCTCTGAAACTGTGAGAGAATAAATTTCTGTTTGTTAAAGCCACCCACGTGTGGTATTTCTGTTATAGCAGCACTAGATAACTAAGATAGTATTATTTATCTTTAAAAATTAAATGGTCTTTGATAATGGATCTATTTTGTATTGCCTTATGAAGACCAAATACTTCTTGTCATCCCATTCTTTATCCTCTCCTATGGAATTTTTATCTCCAGTTAAAACTTTTTTAAACATTGACTTGTTTCAAGCATAGTGTAGATTTTGGTCATGGCCAGCTTTGAGTGCAAATGAGATGTATAATTCTGTTATTCATCACATATTGAGTTTGAAACTCAGTTGGGAATCTTTGCTATAATAGAATATAAGTGACATTTTCTGAAAATGCTTTCTTTTCAAGGTGAAAGCTCTTACGTTTAGCATCAACGTGTGTGGCTCTGTTAAATACAGCCATCTCCGAGATGAAATTAATATACATATACACACACATATATATTTATTTTACTATTGGTTTTTAGAAATTTCTTTTATATACATTTATGAAATAATAAGACCAATCAGACCATTCATGGACACTTAGTGCAACTTTTTATGAAGAAAATAATGCAAAGTAAGACCAAAACTGATGTCACTGAATTTAACATTTTCAATACGTTCGTATTTTAATTCACAAAAAATGTGTTCTGAAACTGGAAACTCAGAATACTTGTGTAAACTGTGGAAGATTTTAAATGTGATGTTATTTTGACAGTGCTTTAAATTTTAGAGTCACATTTTATTCTGATCAGAATTTGTATCAAGATGCTGAGCTTTGTTGTTTGAAATGAATTTGTTATAATATATTGTGCATCAGCATGCTATTTATTTCCTAGGACTACTGTGAATGTATGGACTTATGTTTACTGCTAAGAGAACAATTTTTTTTAAAAATTTTTATTGTACTTTAAGTGAAAGTTTACAATTCAAGTTAGTCTCTCAGACAAAAATTTATATATACATTGTTTTGTCACCCTAGTTGCTGTTCCTATACTGTGACAGAACACTCTTCCTTTCCACCCCGGATTTCCCGTGTCCATTTAACCACCTCCTGACGCACTCCGCCTTCTCTTCTCGCCTCTGAATAGGAGCTGCCCATTTAGTCTCATGTTATCTCCTTGAGCTAAGAAGCACACTCTTCAGGAGTATCATTTTATGTCCCATAGTCCAGTCTAATCTTCGTCTGAAGAGTTGGCCTTAGGAATGGTTTTAGTTTTGGGCTAACAGAGAGTCCGAGGGCCATGTCTTCTGGGGTCCCTTCAGTCTCAATCAAACCATTAAGTCTGGTCTTTTAACTAGAATTTGAGTTCTGCATCCTGCTTTTCCCCTGCTCCATCAGGGACTTTCTGTTGTGTTCCCTGTCAGGGCAGTCATTGGTGGTAGCTGGGCACCATCTTGTTCTTCTGGTCTCAGGCTGATGACGTCTCTGGTTTATGTGACCGTTTCTGTCTCTTGGGCTAATACTTTCTTTGTGTCTATGGTGTTCTTCATTCTCCTTTACTCCAGGTGGGTTTGGACCAATTGATGCATCTTAGATGGCCGCTCGCTAGCTAGCTTTTAGGACCCCAGATGCCACTCACCAAAGTGGGATGCAGAACATTTTCTTAATAAACTTTGTTATGCCAGTTGACCTAGATGTCCCCTGAAACCATGGTCCCCAGACCCCTGCCCTTGCTACTCTGTCCCTCAAACTGTTTGGTTGTATTCAGGAAACTTCTCAGCTTTGGTTTAGTCCAGTTGTGCTGACTTCTCCTGTAGTGTGTGCTGTCCTTCCCTTCACCTAAGATAATTCTTGACTACTATCTAGTGAATTCCCCTCTCTCTCCCTGTCCACCCTTGTAACCATCAAAGAATGTTTTCTTCTGTGTTTAAACCTTTTCTTGAGTTCCTATAATAGTGGTCTTATACAGTATTTGTTAAGGGAACGATTATTTGTAAAATAATATTAAATCCAGTATTAGCTGCCTGTTTATTTCAGACACTTAATACTTGCAGAGATCCATGTTCCATTGACCACACTGAAGGTTGTTTTCAAGAGTCACCCTCATTGTTGAAAGTAAGTGTACTCTTAGGACACGGGTATTAGTGTTTCCATAAGCATGTGATTATAGTAAGGTGGTGGTAAGGGGAGAATACTCTTCATTCCATGAGGAATCTTAGGTTTTCCTAAATTTATCGGGAAAATAGTTATTCCTGTACTGCCTAAGGTCCTTTTTGGTAAACAGTATCTTTCTAAAACAAAAAACGTGAAGGAGAAATTGAGGTGTATACAGTTCCTCAAATGACCAGCATTGTATTCGTGAATCCTGTGTGGAAGCTGTTCATTTTTCAATCTGAAGTAAAATACTTTCAAGAACTTTTAGTTTGCCTGCTCATTTATTTTGTACATTTCATCTCTGTATTTGACTCCTGTCTTATTTCTTTTTTGAGTTTCAATACTTTTTATAACGCTTTTATGACTATACCAGAAGCATACCATGTAACTATTATAGTCCATCCACATCCGTGAATCATAACCTTCTTTTGCCAGTACTTGTAGAACAGGATTTTACAAATTCTGCCTCACTGTGGTGACATTGCTTTGGCCGTCATGTATGTGTACCTGATCAGTGTCAAAGCACTTTAAAAAGTAATAAAAAAAGAATTACATCCTAGTTTTTAGAGGTGCTCATGGATCAAAGAGGTGTCAGCACAAAACCTGAATGGTTATACTTTGATAATTAAGGTAAATAAATGCATTTTTCCTCTCCAATTTTAAGGTGTTGATGAAGGTGCCTGATTTTTAACGTTTTTGCTGTGTTTGGAGATGTTGCATTCAGTTTTCAAATCTAGCTCTGGTCTATGGGATCTACGGTTTTTATATGTAGTTGCCCTCCCGTTCAACAGTCGATTGTATTATTATTTTTTTGCCCTATTTTGAGTGTTTTTCTCTTTTGCTTGCATTTTGAGACTCTCATTAATATTTGGTTATTTGCTTTGGCTTCAGATATTCCTGAATAAAGTCTTCACAGAGTAAAACACAGGCAGTGGGGAGAACTTTACTTGTCTTTTCCCTGTGGAGTCTTAGATCTCCATGTGTTTTCTTAGTGTTCCCTCCTCACGTAATGGT